AAGACTTGATTGAAGAATTGTATAAAATAGGACAAAAAGAAGAAGAAGAACCCAAACCATCTACTTCAAGAGATCGAGGAGAAGAAGAACCAAAACCATCTACTTCCATGCTACGCTGCGCCATTTGTCAAGCCACATTCGAGGATGAAATAGATCTTCTACTTCATGAAATAGTCGATCATCCTACAAATGAAGAGGAATTGGAAGGATATCAAGACTTGATTGAAGAATTAAATCAAATAGGACAAGGAGAAGAGGAAGAACCCAAACCATCTACTTCAAGAAATCCAGGAGAAGAAGAACCGAAACCATCAACTTCAAGACCAAGTGTTATTCATTATGCACCCAAACGCCCAACTTCACCTTCAACTGATGCATCTCCAACAATTGTGGAACTACACGCTCATGCTCTACCGGGTAAAGTGGTAACACATTTTAAAATTGACAATGCTACATTAAAACTGGAAGAATTTATGTTTAGTGCAAAAGGACTAGTAATTGAAACGCTACAAAATGAATTACAAAGATTAAATTTTATAAAGTTTGGACTATTGCTGGATGTTATATTTATCAATATGCAAAATGAAACATCACCTAGAGGATTTTTAACAAAAAACAGAACCATTATGTTTGCCTCAGATATTGAATCAATTGTGGATGAATGTTTGAAGAACTTTTGACAAAATTGCAAGAACATGAAGGCAGAGGATCAGGATGGACTGTATTGAGCATATCAGGTTTGGATGTAAGAGTGCATAAACATGGATATGGAATGAGAGGAAGTAGCTATATTCCTCTACCCAAGAAAATTAATGATACTAAATCTTGTGTTAATGTACAAAATGATGATACTGAATGTTTTAAATATTCAATGTTGGTAAAATATATCAAAAACAATCATCCAGAAAGAGTAGGAAGAGAATATGAAGAAGTGCAGCACTATTATAATTTTCAAGGAATGAGCTACCCTGTAAAAATCAAAGATATCACCAAGTTTGAAAAACAAAACCCAACTGCTTCTGTAAATATATATGGTTTAGATTCATCAAACAATGTATATCCTCTACGTATAAGTGCACAGGAACTAAATAATCACACAGACTTGTTATTAATCACCAAAGGTGAAATATCACACTATGTATATATTAAGAATTTTAACAGACTCCTTTCATTACAAGTGTCAAAGTTTAAAGAAAGTAAAACAATTTGTAAAAGATGTTTTTGTCATGTGAACAAACCTTTAAGAAGAGGAGGTTCTGAATGGTTGTTGGAACATAAAAGGTTATGCAATGGAAATGAAGAAGTTAAGATTAACCTACCACCAGCTGATAGAGCATTTGTACAGTTTAATAATGTAGTTCATCAATATAGAATTCCTATTGTCGTGTATGCCGATTTTGAATCTACTCTACTACCGTTGGAACATCAAGAGGACGACACATCAAGAAGAAACAAGTACCAACTACATTCACCCAACAGTTTTTGTCTACTCATCAAGTCAACGCTTTCCGAAGAATATTTACAAGATTATGGACTGACAGCTGAACCAAAAGTGTATCGTGGTGAAGATGCAGCTAAACTTTTTGTTGACGAGCTTTACTATATAGCTGAAAAAGTAGAGGCAATGTATGCACAGGTAAAACATATGACACCTATGTCACCCGTTGAAGTTCAAGAATACGATTTATCAACTTCATGTTATCTGTGCAAGAAATCATTTACAGCGGATAATCATAAAGTGCATGACCACGACCATCTGACTGAAGCTACCGAGGTGCTGCGTGTAACGCTTGTAACTTAAACTATAAAATTCCTAACTATATTCCAATTGTAATGCACAAACTTAAGCGGCTATGATGGACATTTTATAATACCTGAATTAGGAAGGGACAATGGCAAAATTGATGTATTAGCCGTAACGATGGAACGGTTTATTAGTTTTTCAAAAATGGTTGGTAAAATGAAACTCAGATTTCTTGACTCCTACAGATTTATGCCTTCTAGTCTTATGAAACTATCAGAAAATTTGACAAGAGAAAATTTAACAGAAACAAGTAAAATAGTAGAAAACAACAAATTGGATTTAGTTCTTCGAAAAGGAGTCTTCCCCTATGATTACATCGATGGATTGCACAGATTTGACGAGACATCACTTCCTCCACCAGAAGCCTTTACCAACAAGCTGAACAATTCAGAAATATCACCAGAAGATTACCAACATGCATGCAGAGTTTGGAACGAACTTGATATGGAAACATTAGGGGATTATTCAGATTTTTATGTTAAACTCGATGTTACTTTGCTTTGTGATGTGATGGAAGAATTCAGAAACACCTGTTTAGAAGCATACGGATTAGACCCTCTTCATTCTTACACCTCTCCAGGATTAGCTTGGCAGGCTATGTTAAAAGAAACCAATTGCAAACTTCAACTTTTAACAGATATTGATATGGTGCTGATGGTTGAGTCCGGTGTCAGAGGAGGATTGACTCAAAGCGTTGTAAGACATGTAAAAGCCAACAATAAAGATCTGCCAAACTACAACCAGCAAGGAACCATCAGTTTATCTTGGGTATTTTGATGCAAACAATTTGTATGGATGGGCAATGTCCAACCACCCCTTCCATATGATAACTTTAAATGGATAGACCCAGAGTCAATTGGAGATATTGTTCAAATTCCAAAACATGGTGACAAAGGATATATATTAGACTGCGATTTCGAATACCCAGAACATCTACACGACCTTCACTACGATCTTCCTCTTTTACCAAAAACTGAAATTTCACCCAACTGGAAAACATCCTAAATTAATTATGAATTTAAATCACAAGCAAAGATATGTAGCGCACTTTTGGATTGTTACAACAAGCACTTGAATTAGGTCTTCGTCTAACCAAAGTACACAGAGTTTTGGAATTTTCTCAATCTTGCTGGCTGAAACCCTACATCGATTCCAACACTACAAGAAGAGCAGCAGCAACGTCAGCCTTTCAGAAGGACTTTTTTAAATTAATGAATAATGCCATATTCGGTAAAACTCTGGAAAATAAAAGGAAACACAAAAATGTAAAACTTGTAACAGATGCTAGGAAATTGGAGAAACTTGTACAGAAGCCCAACTTTGGATCTCAGTAATCATTAATGAAAACCTTGTTGCCGTATCTATGAAGAAAACTAGTATAAAAATGGATCGACCTTTGTATATAGGAATGTCAATATTAGATATATCAAAAACGCACATGTATGATTTTCACTACAACAAGATGGTTGCACATTATGGAAGAGAGAACATAGTTATAACTTACATGGATACAGATGCTTTTATTTACAAGATAATTACTCAAGATATGTATAGAGATCTTCGCACATTTGTATATAAAGATGAATTTGATTTTTCTGACTATCCTAAAGATCATCCGAACTACGATCAGGACAGAAACAAGAAAGTATTAGGGAAATTTAAAGATGAGGCTAACGGAGTGTTACTTGAAGAAATCGTAGCACTTATATCAAAATTGTATGCTGTGAAACTACATGATGACAACATTATAAAAAAGGCAAAAGGCGTAAAGAATTTGTATTTGAAGAAAAATGTACTTTTTGAAGACTACAAGCAAGTGTTGTATGAAGATAAAGTTATAACTGCACACTTCAACACAATCAGGAGTTATAATCATCAACTGTACAGCGTGACAGAAGTTAAGAAGGCGCTCTCCTGCAACGATGACAAACGACACATCCTACCAGACCGGATCCACACACTTCCATTTGGTCACTATTCCCTTAACCCTATCGACTAATTACCTTTTCATCGTCCTACACCACTTATCCTTTCTCCTTTCCGTAAAATTGGGGGAACACAGCATTGTCCGCTGTGTTCCCCCTTTTTTACACAAGGTTAGAATGACCTTGACCTATATAAGGAGATGCAAGAAAAAATGAAAATCATTACTTTGCCAACATTGACAGTGAAAACAACATAATGGCTTTTAAAGAAAACATTGTAAATGAGCTACACAAACCTGCAAGAGTAAACTTTCCAAGAAGAAATACAACTGTTAAAGGAATAAATGATTTGTATCAAGCAGATTTGATTGAAATGCGACCATATAGTAAAATAAATAAAGGACATCATTATATACTTACAGTGATTAACTGTTTTACCAAAGTTGCAGATGCATTACCATTAAAGGATAAAACTGGTAAAAGCGTAACACAAGCCATGGAAAT